TCAGACAAATGGCTGTCCAATCTCTTCTTGAAAGCCTCCAGTGTTGGGGCATTCACAACTTCTGGAGGCAAGTCGTTCCATTGATTAATTGTTCTAACTGTCAGGATATTTCTCCTTATTCTAAGTTACTTCTCTCCTTGATTAGTTTCCATCCATTGCTTGTTATCCTGCCCTCAGGTGCTTTGGAGAATAGCTTGACTCCCTCTTCTTTGTGGCAGTACCTTAGATATTGGAACACTGCTATCATGTCACCCCAGTCCTTCTTTTCTTGAAATTAGAATACCCAATTCCTGCATTTAGGAATCTCAGAAATAAGTTGAGCAATCATGATTTATATGCAGCACCAGTGTTTTAGGTAATACATATACCTGTGGTTGTTTTTTTCAAATAATGCCTAGTATAGGGATACTGTGAGTTGCACAGAAAGTTCAGGAACCTTCTAATTATCTAAAATCTAAGATCCATTTATGTAGAATGTGAGAGCAGGGCTCTATAACACAATGCCTAGATATGAAAGTATTTTTAATTGGAAAGCAAGCAAAGCAAGAACAGGGTTGTGATTTCAATGGATTAAATGAAAATAATACACTGGGAAATAAATTGGAAAGCTGAAGAGAAGATAAAGCAAAGAGTGAAAAAAGAAGTAGAGGAAGAAGTAAATTGTTAATAAATGGAAGGATGAAGAGGTGGGGCTGGGGAAAAAGTTATCCCAAACCTATGAACAGGGAGAGCTAAACTTGACAAGCAACAGAGCAGAGGTGGGTTGCTGCCGGTTTGGCCCGGATTGGCCGAACCGGTAGTAACAAGGGCGGGAGGCTCCACCTATCTGCCTGGATGCTTCTGCGCATGTGCAGAAGCTTCACATGTGCGAGTAGGAGCATGTGGGAGCATGCCCGAACCAGTAGTAAAAAAATTGGCAACCCACCTCTGCAACAGAGATGACTGTGCACCACTGAATCGTAAACATTGGATCCTAATGGCACAGAGGAAGGTTATGGATTTTATATGCCAGTTAAGTAGCCAATATTCAAATACATTCAGCACCTCAAATTTTTAAGAAATAAACAATGCAAGCCAATGACAAAACTTCCTATCTTAGATAGTCACTTCTGAAAAACAAAATAAAATAGGCTAGGTACTTAAACATGTTTCATCTAGACATTAATTGATTCCTTTTATCCAGTAGTGTGCAAAGTGGAAAGATGAAGAGAAAGTGTTCCTTTTAAAGAGAAAATGGGCATTTACATAGACAAATCCTTAAAGAGAAAAAAAGCTAAAATAAAAAGATTAAACAGCATATAAATGACTCCAAAGTGGAAACATAGATTTAAAACTTTTTAGAGTTAATAAAAATAGAGTGTTCTTTTTTTAAAAAAAGAACTCTCTGAAGAAAGAAACTAGCAGTTAAGACAATTTATTTTAGTCTCAGAAGATGAAATTGAATAGGTGGGTGAGAGACTTCATAATGTCATTTCCAATTGCTGATAAATTACAATTCACAGAAGATGTATTTTACTTTAGCTGTATGTTCAACAGAGTGATCCCTAGATAAGCTGGGGTGAATTTAAATGGGCACTGGCTTTGAAAACCATATGATCGGCCAACTGTAGGTTTCTTTTCCCAGATACTGCTATATCTTAAAAAAACAACACAGATATTGCAGACTAATATCATGAGAAGATGGGTGCCAGGAGGAGATCCATTTAGAATAGAATAGAGTAGAATAGAATAGAATAGAATTCTTTATTGGCCAAGTGTGATTGGACACACAAGGAATTTGTCTTTGGTGCATATGCTCTCAATGTACAAGATACATTCATCAAGAATCATAAGGTACAATACTTAATGATAGTCATGGGGTACAAATAAGCAATCAGGAAACAATCAATATCAATATAAATCATAAGGATACAAGCAACAAAGTTAAATCCTATACTTGCCAGGTTTAGGATATTGGCTAGATGACTGGAATTTTGATTAGGCTAAAAGTAGATCTACCATTAAGCCAAGTAAAACAACTGACTCAGATGGCAAATAATTCTTGTTTGTCACATTAAGTAATCTTCTCACCAAAGCTAGGCTGTAGATTTCAGAGGCCATAGAGAAGGTAAGGACAACTTTTGGGTATCTGGGAGTAGCACTTTGGAGAGGGGATGCAGTGACACCCACAAAGGGCCTTCCACCATTGCTGAACCAAAGGCTCTCCTTTCTTGCTTGAGTCAGCAGAAAACTCCCTAACTTGAAGACTGCTATTCCCTTTATTGATCCCTACACTACCCCAGCTTCTCTCTTTCAACTGACTGCTAATTTTGCCTCCAAGGGGATAAAGGCTAACTAATACTACATGCCTTGAGGTTACTCTTAGACTGCGATGGATAAAGAGGGAAAATAATCCCCTAACACTTAATATTATGACTTAAGCCTGTTTCAATCACAGGCTGGGGATGTGATAAAGGCAACAACATGAAAACCCCACAGAAAAAAAGATGCTGTATGTGGTTGCTCTGATTGTGCTATGTGTGAGATCGCCCCGTTTTAGGGGGTGTTGAGATTTTTAGAGTTGTTTTAGTTTATTTGTTGCTTGTTTTTGCAGGGAAAGGATTGTTTAAACTAAAATTTAGTATATCTGTTTTCAGCTGTTTTCTACAGAAAAAGTGATAGGAAATCGCATCTTATCAATTTGTTGTTGAAGTTTAACACAGAGATCTAAACAATGAATTGCAAAAAAGTAGGCGTGGAAGGATGGGTGGGAATTGCATGCATTTTGTCAGCAAACAAGTTGCTCATCCTGTAAAAGAAGGCACAGTATAGTTCTGTGGATACAAACGCATACATGCCCATCACATCATTTTTATGTGGTGAAGCTACATTTATGCAGAGCACATATAGAGTAAGAAATACTAAGAGCTAAAGAGACAAATAAACATAAGATAAGAAAATGCAAATGAAAGATGTGGGGTAGCTATAGACTGAATGATATTCTTCTGGCTCTGCTGTTGAACTGCTGGAACAATGAATTGGCTGAAGGCATTCTCAGTTTTTATGGTTGGTAGCAATGAAGCAGACCTCGAGGTGAAATTGCTTGTGAAGGACTGTGAAAGGAAGGTGCACACTGTGTAAGTGCTGCGTGTTTATTTTATGTACAAATATTGGTAAGGATCTTATTGAGGCTGCCACATTCTCCATGGATGCCAACCGAATATTTCAGAAAAGCTCACACTTATAGCATGAAGACTAGATCTCTTTTCTTCTATGCTTCCTCAAGAACTAACACCATATAGCAGAGTTTCTTAACCTTGGCAGTGCGAAAATGTGTGTGGGCTTCAACTTCCAAAATTCCCCAGCCAGCATGCCAGGATTGAGAAAGGTTACATTTGAGCAATACTTTATACAATCACTATTCCAGAAGTTTTAATTATTTATAGAAAATTACTCAAGTCTAAGACTCACTAATTGGTAATGATAAATGTCATTCCCTATGTGAAATTTTTGCATTAATTTTATCTTCTAGTAGTGACAGTAGTATGGAATACCTCATTGTAGTTCTGAATGGCCACATGTCTGACACAAGAAATGACAAGATGAAAAAAGAACCGATGAAGTTCTCTGGATAGTCTGTCATTTATTTTAATGTGGGCATTTTTGAACTTCAAAGACCAATGTCAAGATGAAGTAGCTAAGGTATAATGAATGAATTCTATATCTCTCATTGGCTTAAATGGGGAAACATGGGAGTTTTCTGAGCCACAATGTGCAGTATTTGCATCAATGAAAAATTCTTAGTATTATATGCAACAATACCCAATCATACCCAGTTTGGTGTACTGATTAAGGTGCTAGCCTAGAAACCAGGAGATTGTGAGTTCTAATCCTGCCTCAGTATGAAAAGCAACTGGGTGACTTTGGGCCAGCCACTCCCAGCCCAATCCACCTCACAGGGTTGTGTTGTTGTTGTTGTTGTTGGCATAGGAAGAGGAAAGAGCATTAGATATTCGCTGGCTAGAGTTACTTATAAAGGCAGGATAAAATCTAATAAATTTATATACAGCCACCACTATAAATTACTGTTTTTAACTTCTCTGTTTACAGTAATTTCTCTTTATCTTCATTGTTTCCACTCTCTAAATTTATCCCAAAGTTATGCTTTATGCTACTGTTGTACATAGTCCAGAAAATATTTTGCTATTATACATTTGTGGATCTCAAAGGTATTACAGAATTGTCTTCTTTTTATCCCCAGCTAGAGTAACTATTAGTTACTACTCAGGTTCTAGAGGTAAATGCCCATCTTCTCCTTTATATTATTAGATAGAACAATGGTCACACTTGTGGCAGTGAGTTCCCTAAATTACTTATATACTACCGTACTTTGTCCGCTCTTAAACTTAAGCTCATATTCATTAAGTACTAAGTACGGTAATCCCATCCCGACCTATTCGATAATTGAGTACAGTACAGTAGTCAATTATTGTAGACAGGTTTTTGGCCGAGAGAGGGACGGACAAAGCCTCCGGTAGGCGGCGGTAGACAACGCCTGTCTTTCCTTATGAAGGAAACATTGCTTTAACAGGGCAGCAGCCCTTTAAGAACTTCCCCCTTTCCCTTTTCGTACTCTATGTTTACATAACAGACTGGAAGATACCATCGCGGTTTTAGACGGAAGGCGAGGGGAGCGTGGAAGGCCCGGAGAAAGCCAAGAGGAGGGGCCGTTCCACGCCTCCTTTCTGGGTAGGCGCTGTAGTTGGTCTCTCCTCATTCCCCCCCCCCTCACCCCCGGGCAGTCGTGTCTGTCGCTGTTGGCTTGAGTGCAGAGAGGGGGAAGCGAAGGGTCCGCGTCGGCGGGCGCACCAAGCAAAGGCAACCCCGTAATTTCGCCCGACCGCTGACTGGCTGGCTCCGCGACTATGAAGGAAAGGTCTCCAGCCCAACGTCCTGTTTGATGACTGCTCTTGCAACGGCTCTTCTGGCGAATGCCGTTGTTGCCCCGCATGGGATTATAGCGACGACGACCACGGCCGTGGCGGTGGCCCCATGTTTTCTCCTAGCCAGGAGGAGCACTGCGCGCCCAACAAGGAGCCCGTCAAATATGGAGAGCTCATGGTTCTCGGGTAAGGAGGAGGCGGCAGCGAAGACTGGGGCGCTGCGCTGCGGTGTGTCGGGGCTCCGGCGGGGCATCTCCCCCCTCCTGCTTTGAGGCTGAGGGGGAAGCCGGCGGCGCGGGAGAAGCGCGAGTGGGAAGGAGACCCCCCCCCCGTCTCACCCACCACCACCTTTTGCCTCGGGTGGGCAACGCAGCCCGAGGGGCGCTAGTTACGAGCGGGTGTCCTTTCGGGGGTGGGCAGCTGTGGAGAAGCTCCCCGAGAGTGAAGTGAGGCTGGGAGAGAGTTGCGGGTGCGGGGTGTCCCCCGAGGCCTCGGGCCCACGGTCGGGGAGCAGACGGGCGACGGTTAGGTGGGACGGCGGGCGGAGGTGTAATAAGCTTGAGGGAGGACGAGGAGGGCCGGTGGGGGTGGGTGAGCAAAGAGGGCCTGGCAGCTCAGGTCAGCCGGGGAAAATGCATGGAAGGTCGGCCCCCCGGCTGACGAGCGGAGGAGAAGCGACGGCGGGACAGGAATTATTTCTCCCTCGGGGAAACATCCTGAAGCGGGCAAGAGGGAGCCGCGTCTCTCTCTCTCGGGGCCTCCGGGCAGCAGGGCGGGCGAGTGTTGGACGCAAAGGATGTGCGGGGTCGTTTTAATTAGTGGCCTCTCCTCCTCCCTCCCCCAAAAGAAAGAACCCGAAAAGTTCTGTGAGGCGAGAGAAGGACGCGGAGTATTCCGGGACCCACTTCGGACGTGTGTCTGTGTGTGTGTGTGGGGGGGGGGGCGCCGGGGGAGTCTCTCGCTTTCCACTGTTTTGGGAGTGTTGACGGGGGTGGGTGGGGGGAGAAGAGAAACCTACCGGACGGGGAGACATGTATCCGCTTGTTGGGAATGGTGAGTCTTGATTCATAGAGGTCTTCAAACTTGGCAACCTTAAGACTTGTGGACTTCAACTCCCAGAATTCTCCAGCCAGCTCTGCTGGGAGTTGAAGTCCACAAGTCTTAAAGTTGCCAAGTTTGGGGACCCTAGTCTTGAAGGTCAGTAGAGAGAAGGGGGGGGGGGGGAGGAAACACAACTTGCCTGGTTAGAAGGCCTGCCCGGATGGCAAAAGGAGTGCCAAAGAGGTGTGGTGTTAATCGTGATGGAGGGGTGGGAGAAGTAGGGGATTAATCTGTGCAGGTGAGGAAAGAGGAAACTTTGTATTGAAAGAGAGGGAGAGGGAGAAATTGAAAGGAGGGGGGGGTAAGAGGAAGGGTGGGCAGGCAAATAGCATGTTTGTACTGTAGTCCCATGCTGAATGCTTAGCAGTGAGATTATTATATACACTGATTATAGGGGTGGGGATGGGTGGGAGAGAGGCCCTGTTTCATTGGGACTGAGCAGATCCTACTTCTGCCTGGTTTATGGTTTATTCTTGCTTACCCGATATCTTTTCCCCATATTCTGTCTGAGATGAAAGATCTCAAAAGGGGTAAAATATGGTGATACAGAAGTGTAATGCTGGGAGCCTGCTTAATTGGCTATTGGTCCCATAGATTGGAATCAGGGGATTGGCTCTTGTCAACCTCGTTGTCTTGGCTTTAGATATAGTTTGTACCATATTGCAGGATACTGTAGTTGTTGGGACTAATAATAGCTGTTCCAAAATTAAGACTGTTTTGTGTTTGCTTTTGTTGGATGGTCAGTGCAATTCTTGGACTCGTTCTATAAGAGCATTCTGGATGGTAAAAGAGAAGCACTGGGCCTTCTGAAATGTGTACTGTACTGTTGGGAGAAGAGCAATCTGCAGTATCTATATTTTTTAATGAATTGCTTCTAAGTTGGATACTTCTTAGCATGCTTTAAAAAAAAAACATACTGTGGAGAAGGTAAACCGACATTACCCATCTGGTTTGGAGAGGTCTGACTCTGGGGTGCTTTTACAATTAATCTCATGCCATTCTAGAATGTATTAATTATAGTGCTAATTGTTATTTTACTTCTCCAGTATGCCTTGTGATAGAGAAGACTGGTGAATATGTGAAATAGTAAACATGTACATCAGCAGTTGGGATTTGGGGGTGTGTGGGGTGGAATCTATGTCGCTGGTTTGGTGTTCTTCTCCATCCTTATTGTTTGAATGTGGAGTTTGTGTCTGAGTGCCATACAAATTGAATATAAGACATTTAAATCTGTTTATCCACTCCCAGCAAACCTTGTGTTTAGACATGTTAACTAAAAGTACATAACATTTGCATGATCAAATAAATAGAATATGAAAACTAACTTTCAAATTAAATTTACTGTTTGGAAGTTTTACTATGAAATAGCACTACTGGGTGCTTTGAATAAGCTGTTTGCTTATTTCATAAACAATATGGAGGGATTGGATTTGAAAGAATTATCAGTAGCAGAGACCTTTTTCTTAGCATTTTTTTTTAAGCCTTATAGGGCTATTTTTTTAATAACACTGAATGTGACAGTAAAAGAAAACTTGACAAAATCTGATTCTAAAGAAATTGATTATTTTAAATATTTTTTGGGGGGATTTAATTAAGTGAAGTAAATATAAATAATGACCATAAAGGAACATCCATATTTAATTTTTTTGGAAATACCATGAAAGTGATTTACAATTGTCACTTATTTGTAAAATCCATTGATTTTAAGCTTTATAAAGATCTTGAATTCCCTAGTAGTCTCCTCTACAGGAACTAAACAGGTTTAATCTGACTTAGCTTTTTTAGGGATGAGGTACATTGCTACCTCCTGTAGCTGATTTCAGAAAATTAGGAAAATATAACATGATTTCAAATATTTGAAAGGTATCAAACATTTTCTAGAAAAAATTATTTGTAGAAAAGTTGTTAATCTAAACAATAATTGGAAATATCTAGTTTATATCACTATCAGTAAAGAACAGTTTACTTGGAGAAGAGACATGCTGACAGCATGGACATCATCTGTGTTATTGAAGTCTTGACACTTCTAGAACTCTGTTAAGCATGTAATCTTTCATTCAGGTAATTGTACTATTTGCTTTATGCAATTGGAAGCCTTGGAACAAATATTATAGATATAAGTTCAGGATAATTGAATGTGGCTTGAACCATTTCCAAATATTTATTATTATTATTTCTTTCTTTCCTTGCACTGTGCAATGGCAAATAGCTTTCCCCCACAAAATCTTGTAGGACTGAATTTATCCTTACTTCTGTTTTGAATATCTATATTTCTTGCCTCCCCCACCCTGCAATGTCTGTGTGGAAGCACTAGAGATTTTTAATGCTAAATGACTACTTTTGCTAGTTATTAAGGGTCATTAGAGAGGCACTTAATATGCATGAGTATTTCAGCTTGAGCAAGAGATACATTTAATCTTATTCTGTCTGGATTGTAGCATGACATATTTAATAAAGCTAAATTTCTATTTAAAGGAACACCAAGAATGAGAATTGAGATTGGAACAAAATCAGCTTACAATAATGCAGAGAAACTAGATTTTATTTGTTGTTTTTATTCTAAACATCTATATCTCTTCTAAGACACCTTTTCAAGAAGCTTAATCACTCAGTAACTCCATAAATAGCATAATGCTACTTCTTCCCAGAGCTGTATCATTAGTAGAAAATAATCACAGAACAGCTTGAACATCTGTTCAGCATTTTTAAAAAAGCCTAGAATAAGTAATTGTGTAATCGTCTGCTATTTGTTACCTTTGAGAATGAAGAACTTTAGGTAACAAGGTTGTGAATCAGATAATCACACTCATAAATGGTTAGAGATGTTGAATAGCTTATGTGTTAAAGATGTGAGTATATTAATTGTATTGTGACAAAAACCTATTTATTGGCAGAAAAATGAGGTATCCAATCAACTTCTATGAATTTCTCTATATTGTCAAAGATTGATTGCGATGGAAATGGCTTAAATAAGAAATAAATAAAAGTGAATCAAATAATCATTTCCTAAATCAAAGAAAGTTGGATTGTGACAGAGGAAGCACCCCCTGTACAATTTGGATGATATTAATTAATTGAATAAAGAAACTCTCCAAGAAAAAGGAAGTGATTATATGCCATGAAACAAAAGAGGAGGTTTTTTTTAGAAAAAAGATAATGTCATTTCAGATTGTGTGATAAAAAGCATTGATATTTCCTACCATAAAACTGACCCTCGTATCGAATTATCTACTAATACCACAGCAATGGAACTTGAAGCAATAAAGGGACATAAAGCGAACTGGGAGCCGGTGTTGAGTAAAACATGATTTGCTAGTTAGGAAGATTTCAAGAAGTGGTAAAAAGGTACTAAACTTAGACAGCCAGCTATTCCAAATTTGGAGAAGTATACCAATATCATAGGAAAATATTCATTGATAAACTTATTAGAGATAAGAATATTTTATACTTTGGGATGGGAAAGAATGTGATGATATATCACGGTAATCTGATAAATACTTATCAGATATGAGATTTGAATAATTAAGTAATAGATTAAAAAGGCTTTCTGCTAAAGCTTTTTGAACTATTCCAAAAATCCTAGATTTGTCTTATTTTACATTTAGAGAGATACATCAAGTAGATTCATTTTTCAGCAAACTTGTAATGTATCAGTGAATTAATGTTATGAATGCTTTGTGCCTTTACAATTTCATCTATTTTAACAGTATTATTTTTAGTTTTTTTTAAAAAACTTTTTTTGCTTCAGTTAATGTTTTTTAAAAATGAAGTCCACAAGAAAATTGTTTCAAAGAAAGAGTTTTGTAGAAAGTTGTCAGTAACTGAAAAGTTTAAAATAGTGACATAAAATGCAATTTTGTAAGATGCTTAGCATTTTATCCTGATCTGTGTCAAATTAGCAATACCGGTACAAATGTAAACTTGAAAGAAACTCAACTGTGTTAGAAAGTGCTTATTGCAAACATTATTTTTTCTGCTGATTTGTCTGCAATTTTGTAAAGTATTTATGCATTTTAGTAATAAAAATAGCAATAATTTTTTTGTAAGGATAAATTATACACCTATTCAAGATTGCAGATATTACC